ATGAACTAAGAGAAATTATTTTCATTCTGTGTGTCTTTTTCCTTTTCTTTCTCTCTCCTAAACATTGCAAACATTGAAACTAATTTTTAAATTTTAGATGTAAAAAATTAGTAACCAATGGGATATGTTTTTATCATTTGAATTATTTAAGCTTCTGAAATTAATTGAGAGACTTGAATTTAACAGAAGAAGAAAAATTCAAGCAAATACGTTTCCTTTTGAGTTTGAGAAATGGAGAGTATATGTACAATTTCTTGTTCAAAATTTAAAGAACAGATAAAGTAAAAAAAGAGAAAAAAAAAAATGTTTAACCAAAGATGACATTGTGTTATTTATGCTTTATTGATGCCGCAGTTGTATCTCTCAAATATTTGTTATGTCTATTTCTTGCTCATGCTTTATTTATTTTACATTAAATCAAGTTGACTGATGATATCTCAATTATATTTATAGTATAAAATTATACAACTAGACTTTGCATGCCTGTACCCTAAACTAGCTGAAAGCTAAGATCAACTTATAAAAACTTGACTTATTATCAAGGATATTGAGAATCTATACATTCCAAAATCTGAAAAATTCTAAAACATACCTGATGCCTAAAACTTAGAATAAAAGAATGTTTATCTTATATTTAATCCTCATTAATAAAGAATGTGAAAAGTCCCCCCCCCCAATTGAAGATAGATTTTCTCATGTGTATTTGTTTATATTTTAATTTATGTATAATAAGGCACAAAAGATCTGTGATCTTGGAATTTTTAAAAAAAATCTCTGAACATTTTCTACTTATTTTTTTTCAAAATCTATTTTTTACCATTTTATTATTACTTATCAATTTTGATAATCTTTGGTTGTTTCATTGTAGAGCAGACTGATTTGAGACATTATAATAGAAGCTTCCATTACTCATAAAAGGGATAATAGTAATAACACTAATAATAGTAGTGTGATTATATATATGCATGTTAAGCCATGCTATATTTATAGTAAGAAAGTGCTCAATATCAGAAACAGGTTGTAAATAATTAAAAGTAGTGTGGGCATAGGTATCAACACTGGTGGATTGTGACGCACTGTTTCATACTTACATGCATCAAGTCTGACAATCGTGTTTACACATGAAACATACTGTCAATGAAGTATCAATAATGGTTTATATGACTTGAAACTAGTTATCTCTCCTATGCTTAATCTGGAGTCTCAGTAAAAATGATCATTTTCCATGGCTGAGAAATATTACAGTAATTTTCTCAGTCATTTTAAGAAAAGCTTGTTAAGTTGATGTAGATTATCATCTTGCATAAATCTTATAAATTGCAAATCAAACTCATTTATCTTTTAATCTGTTTCTCCTTGTATTTCTTATTACATTAATTATTTGGGATAGTAGCCGCATCAGTATTTTTTTAATATTTTGATTTATATGCCCGTCAACATTTTCCATGCGTATTCTGTGCTTGCTTGTTATTGTATATTTTTCAATAGGAACAGTTTTACAAATAGATCTTAAAAGTCAAAATTAAAATTGCAAAAGTTTTTCAGTTGTAACTCTGATTGAGTAAAACTAATTGTAATTTGTAGTATGCAATAAAGTTAATAATGACTTTTGCACTTCCTTTGATAGCCTTTAAAGATGTCAGATTATATTTCTTTTAGCATTCTTTCTTTTATCTTTTATAGATGAATGTATCTTATTCAAATTGCAAAGTATAGATGACATTAATATGCTTTAATACAATGAATATAGAAAGCAATACCTATTCATCCTTTTGAAATATTGAAACATAACCTAAAATTTTATTAATGTAAAGTGCCTGGGAGAAGAATAGACAAGATTAGACTCATTGAAATGTAATACCTCATGTCAAAAGTAGATGATAATGATATTAAGAAAACAGAGTTGAAAGTTAGTGCTGCATTTTCTCAATTAGTTTCTGTTAGATTGATTTATTTACTTTTTGTTTTATTACCAAGAGACTTAATAAGTGAAATGTTCTGATAATTCTAACTATAAGACAAATAAACTCTATTTTATTAAATCAGAATTTATAGTGATATAAATAAACTGAAGTTCCCACAAAATTAGATGCAGCAGTAGATTTTGTCCCCCTCCCTCTGTATGCATGATGCAATAAGGTAAAGAGGTAGTGTAGTGGTGGCAGCAATTGGATGTGTATAGGATTTGACACAGTTAAACCATGGAATTATTCTTTGGGCTTACTGTGCTAAATTTATACCAGGAAGATATGAATTTCAAACAGACATCAATGGCATGTAAATACTACAGGTGTCCATGAGTGATACAAGAACAAGATTTCTTGTGACTGAGAAGGATGGTGACCACTTAATGAAAGGGATCATTGCATCAAATCACATCCCATTTCAGCACAGTGTACATTAAACACTGCATTCTATGGGGTTCTGTAGATGTTGACCAACAAGGTGACTGTTATTAACATCATAGCTTCAGTTTACTGCATCTCATTTGGGCCATCATTATTGAACCAAAGAAGACTGGTTACATTTCTGGCTATTTCAAGCAGATGATTGAGTTTGTATGCAGAAGAAACTGGATGAGGCTATATATCAGGTTGTGCAAGGTTGTGATGATAATGTAATGCTGTGAGTTGTGTTTTTTGAAGTTTTCAAAACAGGAGTCTGTCTTGACAAATTTAACTTACACAGGTATTATTGCAGACTATTTTCACCCCCTTTATTCACACCATATTTTCTGGTGGTAATGATTGTGTATAAGTGGCATGCAACTGACTCCAAGAACACTCACCTGACTTTCATGTATTCCATTAAATCCTTCACTTGCCAAATTTAACTCCCATTGTGAATGTTTAGGGCATGTTACAGATCTTACTAAATTCCTTGCAGATATACACAAAAAGGACACAACTCAGTTATTGATAGTCTTGGAATATGTCTGGATAGATAGACCTCCTGCAATGATAGCAACACCTTGTAGGCCACATTGTGTAGCTACCATTATTCAGGTAAATGGAAGAGCTACATGTCAATAGATAAGAATCTTTAATTTTTGACACTTCAGTTTATCTATATACGAGAAAATTCAGTTACTGGAGCTGCTAAATTAATTTTTAGATTTGTATTTTGTCTTTTTTTTATTAAATAATAGTGTTTTATTAGCTTTTGTAAGAATGCAAAGTGACTTTCTTATAAATGCTGACTGCAGTTAAACATGCTTGTTCTTTAAAGAAGAAATATATTTAACTAGAGTCAGCATTTGTAAGAAAGTCTTTGTAAGAAAGTCAATAGAAAGATTTCATCCGTCAGTTTGTGAAGGACTTTTGGATAGTCTTATATTTTTATTCTGCTTTTTCATGTATTTTAGGACCTATCAAAATGTTGGAATCTTTTGCTAAAGGTTTTGTTTTAAGCAGATTTAAAGCAATGAAAAGAAAATGCTTTAAGAAAGCAAATTGATAAATATTTTTTAAAAAGTTCATGTTTGTGTGCCACATAACAGGTTTATAAACTTTCTCAACATTAAATTGCTGCTTAGAACATTGTATCCCATTATTGGTTAAATATAATGCAGCAGAATAGAATTGAAAGTGGAGAGAAATCATTTTAATATTAAGTCTTTTAGTTCTAACAAACTTTATTATAGCTTATTCTATTATTTTAGACTCCTTAAGAAAATCAATGATTATTTTTCTATTTCTAATCACTAGAAACTTTTTGATTATAATTTATGTTCTTCAGTTTGTAGTGCTTTTTTTTTGTTTTTACTAATCATTTCACGACAAGCAAGGTGATAATGTCACTAAGATGTAAGAACTAACTGAAAGTGAAAGAAAATGAGACAATAAAAGAACAGGAAGACAAAACATGGCGATTGATGTTGCATTTAAATTTTTGAAGATTATAGGTAGCAGGAAAGCAAGAAACTGGAATATAGTTTCAGAGTTAGGAAGTGTGAGAAAAGAAATTATTAGAATAGAATTTATGCATTCATCTTGTAAAATGGTGAGGCTTAGTGTCCAATCTACTAGTATGCTTAAATCCATGCAGTCAAGGAGGAAAGCTCATCTGAACACTTGCCATAAAAAAGTGATAGTATTAAAACAAAATATAAATGATGTTCAGTCAATCATAGGAGTTCATTGTTTGATTTCAAACCAAACCAAAGACTTTTCCCAAAATGGTTTGTTATACACTTGTAAAATTATTGTTTCTGTTATTGCTTGTGTTTTTGTATAACATTTTCCCTATTTTGTTGCATATCTACTTTTGCATTCAAAGATAATAAAGTGTACAACTAACTGAATATAAAAACAAACATCAGTTGTTTGATGCCTGTGTAATTTTATTTTATTGTAGTTCGTATTGCAGTAAATCCATATAACATTCATCATTATATACATTTGGATTATAACATTGTAATAACAACAACAAAGATGAAGACAATAGTCTTCATCTTTGTTGTTGTTATTACAATGTTTCCACCATTCAGCTCTCCAGCCTTCATAAGGTGTACATCGATCCAAGTAACCAACAGGACAATAGCCTATGGATTAAAGCACTGCTTTGTGAATCTGGTGACATAGTAATTGGGTGTTCCATCCCTGGGCCAGGCAGTGTGTACTTGGACTTAATGGAAACAGAGCAAGCAATAACTGAACTAGACAAGATATCCCTAGACATGGGCAGTGGAATGAGAACAGTCTACCCCTGTAGATTAAATAAAGGGTTCAGTTCAAAATTCCTTGTTGGTTACCTGAATTGATGATGAAGGCTGGAGGGAACAATGGCTGAAATTTTGTGATAGTAACAACAAAGATGAGGACAATAGTCCAAATGTAAATAGTGTAAATAAAGATAATTACACTTCATCTCAGATATTCAAACAGAAACATTCATTATGTGCAATCAAAAAGTCAAACCAAAGTCTTAAATGTTTTGCAACTGTATTTCTTGCCCTACAAAATCATTGCTGTTTAACATATTCAAATTTTTTGTTCCAGCCGAACTCTTTGATCCTGATGCAATTACCTTACAAGTGAAGATCATAAAATATGTGAGTTTTTTCTAATTTCTTTTCAAGTACTTCAAAAATTCTGATAAAGCACACCATTGTTTTTCTAATATATAAAATTGTTATTACATAGAGTGACAGAAAATGAATATACTTTAAATTCTATAAATTTATGAGAACCTTGATTTTGGATCATTTACAAATATTGAAATTTATAAATTGTTTTATACTATCTTTGTTATTTTAAATTCTCTTATTACAAATTACATGCAATGGGAAATAAGAAGTCATGAAATTATACAAATATTGTTTGAACTGCATAAACTGCTTATAGAAATTTGTTTGTTATTTTTGTACAGTTATTAGTAGATTAGCTGACATAAGCTAAATAAACTTTTCATCTTAGAGTCTTGAACAGCCAATGATTTAAGTAGTTAGGTTGATGTGATTAACTTCTCATAGTCATTGTTGAACTGTTAAACACTAATTGCTCACCTGAAGACAACCATAACATCTACATCTGTACTATTTACTTCTAGTCTCTACCAAATCTAATCTGATAGACTACATTTGATATTCTCTCTTTATGTGACATCAAACTAAAAATATTTTTTAATTTTTTTAAGTACTTTACCCATGTGATAAAATGAATACATAAAATGAATAACAATTTCAATTTGAAAAGCAACATAATATTAAAATACTGATTTATGAAAGAGCTGCCTCTATACAATGTTAGTTAACTTTTTTTTTTTACTGTTGGTGGCATCAAGTCTCTTCAGTAAAATACCCTTAAAATATAAACATACTTATTACAAATCAAAACAGTGCTTTCCTATTTTTTATATTGAATTAATAAAACTATAGCTGTGTTCAAGTTAGAGGCAGATATTTACAAATTTATTTTACCTTGGTGTTAGAAGGTCCACTTTGTTGTTTTAAATACCATGACCTTTCAGGATGTAGGTGATCATCACTTTGCTATTTGAAATGCCATATCCTTTCAGCATGTAGGCAATCGTGGCTCTCCACAGCTTCCTTTTCTTTAATATTTTTTAATTGTTATGAGTTTCTTGGGAAAGACAGTGGAGTGTTTTCTTGTTGCTTTTTACGCCGCCTTGAATTGAGAGTTTTCCTTGTAGATTAAAGAGCTCAGTCTACCCCATAGCTAGGAAGATGGATTTATGTCTATAAATGATGGATTTATGTTTATAAATGAATGCAATAAATTCTGCTGGAATTTGAATTTGAATTACACCATCTGCTCATCCACTTTTTTTGTTCATGCCCTTTATACTTAACTTATTATTTCTTATCTATAAGTGAATTTTATGTACAAAAAATCATTTTGATAAACTTGGGATCAACATTAGAGTTATGAAAAATATTTTTTAAGATTCAAAGTGGAAAATTTGACAGATATATTAAATATGTAATCTTAGAATTATCAAAAAAAAATCATGAAAAATATCAAAATTATTTGTTGATTTCTTTTAATCAACAAATAATTTTGATATTTTTCATTGACCTTTAATCTGGACATTACAATTTAATTAAGTTATAGTGAACTGTTACTTTTTCTAAAAGTTTAATTTCAATTTACACAGCTGTTTTCATAAGAAATTTCTAAGAGATAAAAATCAATAATCTTTCCTGAAAGAATGGGAAAATAAATGTAATGAAATTTTAATTTTAGTGATATTTATATTGATGTTGTTGGTTTCAGAGTTTTTCAAACTACAATGTTAGAGTGTTAGAGGCTAAAATTAACTTGCTCAAAACAAGGTCCCCACTGCTCATAACAACATGCAGTAATCTTGGTTAATTTATCTATCATGAATTTGACATGTTGAGATTCAGAAATGTGATACTTTTAATAGTTTAAATACAAATTCCACTATGTGAGTAAGAAACTAAAGTGTTTGAAACAGTTTATATTAAAAAGGTGGAAAGTTAAAGAGTTAACTTTTATTTCTGCCAGTATTTTTAAGAAAAACATACTTTACTGCAACATTTTCCTTGAGAGCTTTATATTGTTCCTGAAAATATTATCCTTAAAGAATACAACAACTTTTCTTCCTTATGCCCAAATTATTTGCACCTCATTGCAAATCTTTGCAGAATGTTAAAAATAAAAAGTGTTTTTAATTGCTGTTTTCATATTTTAACTATTCAAGTTTGAGATTGAAATATGATAAAAATAGATATTTTTATACTAGGAAAAGGAAAATGTAAATTGTAACAAAATTTAAATTATATTTATAAAGGATTTGTTCTGTCTATAGTGACAGGGGATTTTGCAAAAATCCTAAGTTCTGATCAGCTTCTTTAAGAAATGTTTTTATCAACATAAAAGAACAAATAATATTCTTCATCTTAGGCAGTTACTGATTAGAAAAATAGGTTTAACTCTTAAAATACTTGATTAAACAAAGATACCATAAATAATTGGTTAACTTAAAATAAATCTCATTAATAAAGTTTAGAAGCAATCTCAGAAATATTACTATTTAATCTGGATAAGTGGGAAACTTTAGCTAGCATGAAATTATGGTTTGAATGTTGTTTTTTTTGTTAAATATCAATTAAATTTATACTATTTATATTGGAATGGTTGGCAAAACATTGGCAAATTGCCAATTGATTCAAACTTTATAAAATTGTAAATATTAATAATTTCCTTATAGTTGTTTCACATATTTTAATAATTTAGTAAATGTTTATAAATTTATGAATAAAATATTGTTTTCACATTTATTTTGTTAAAAATTTGGTAAATGATAAATATTGCATTACATTAGTTCTAATTTTGTTATCTTTTGGAATATTGTAAATATAAAGTTATTCTTGTAAATAAAACAATCTAATAAACAAATAGTGTTTAATATTTTTGTTGTAAATTCTCAAGAACAAAAATAAATGTATCAATTCACTTTCATCATTTATTTAGTCTTTATTACAATTCTAATCATTGCTTTTTAAAATAGTAAACATTGCTGAAGAGTGAAGATAGTTAAAAACATGGTGTCATGGAAAAAAACATCCTTTTCACACTCTGTCTTATTATGGGCACATTTATCCCTATTTGCTGGAAATCTATTAAAAAAATAAATGAATACATGGAATAATTAAATGAATGATGTATCATTTTTATGTAATAACATCATAAAGGTCAATGCAGATTAAAGTTTCCCAAGGACAAAGCATAAAGGATTAATAAAGATTAAAGTTCATATCAAAGTTTTAAAAATGATTGGAAACTAATTACAAAAATATAATAACCTGTAAGAAAATCAAATATGTGCTTTTATTTTTATTTTTATTTTTTTTTCAGCTTCAAGAACAAACAGATGCTGAAATAGCTTTTTTATTGTTAAATGACAAGGATAACAATGACCTATTTTGTCAGGTAAGTATTATTTGGTCATTCACAGAGTCCTTACAGGTTGGTAGATGATAATTCTGTCTGGCTGATTGATTTTTGTCGGTGTACCCTTATTCATTCTTTCCCATTTTTTGAATTACTTATACTGCAGTTAATGTTAGCTTTTCTAAATCCTCTTTTTGCTACAAAAGAATTATCAAGCTCTTTTACTGATGATTCTAGTTAAGTTTTTCCAAGAAATTTCTTAAATATATCTATTTGTTTATTTGTAAACTAAAACTAAATCACAAAGTATTAGTTTCATAACAATACTGGATAATGTTTATTTGTCAATAATATTGCAAATATTGAATAAGTAACTTTATATCCATTAGTAAAATGAGTAAACTTTCTTACTCATTACACTTCAGAATAGTAGTTTATAAAGTAATTTGAGATTTGTATAAGCCACTTGAAGATAGTGATCAAAATTTTCACCTGTAATATGATGAGAAAATGTTTGTCCAAATTCAGAGATGAAATTGAAATATTATCAACCATATAGTAAGATATCTATGCAGTTGGATAACAGGATGATTTGCTATCCAAAACTGGAGTTGTCCCAAATCTTTCCTGTTTTTGTGGAAAAAAATCAAATAATTAAAAAGAAAGAAAAAAAAAATCACTTTTTCAATTCTGAATATTTTCAATTGATTTATTTTGGTAAAATTTATTTTTCTTTAAAGAATGCAAGAAACATTTCGATTTCAAAATTACAAAGAAAGAATTTTTTTAATAAACAACAAGTGACTAAAGCTAAGATACTAATAAGATGATGAAAAGTATTAAATACAAGGTGGTGCTGAACAGTCTTTGTTCTGACCAAGAAGAGATTTCAACAAATCTGATGCTTGGCCAGATTTTTGATAATGGGTTGAGCAGGGAACTTTTCAGCAACGCCTACATAGATAAGATTAGCAAAAAGATTTATTTATTAAAGACATTTTATTATGTTTAACGTTGTTATTTTTATAGATACAAGTATTTAAGCAAATGCTCTGTTTATGATAAACAGTATTAAATAACATTTACCGGCCTGAATGTCGAGAATTTTCATAGAAAATATTCGTTCTTTGACAGGAACGAACCTGCATCCTACTGACGGAACCGTCATATCGTAGACCTGCAGGTTCAATCTACTGGCAAACAAAGCGTTTGGTAGAACAAGGATATTCAGCTTATGGAAAATTTATTTTATACTGTTTAGTAAACAGAGCATTTGCTTAAATACTTGTATCTATAAAATAACAACGTTAAACATAATAAAATGTCTTTAATAAATAAATTGTCGGACCTTGTCCATTTCTTAAAAAGATTTATGCTAATTTAAGCATTTATTGTGGCTGGATTATGCATTCTTGAAGGTCAATATTATTTCTGATGCTAAATAAGGCTAACAATAACGCAATCTTCTTTGTTATCTTTTATGTCTGTCTACTGTTTACATATTAAGTGAAAAATGACAAACTATGAATATTATTAAAATGTTGGATTTTTTAATTTTTGTTTTTACTGCTGAAATTTAAATATGTCATGAATAGAAAATTTCACAACATAGGTTCAAATACTGATCTTAATTTCATTATGAATTAATGAAATTTCATTATGAATTAAATGTTTGTAAATTATTTTAATGACTCTTTGTAGAAAGAACAAATAACCATGAACATTTTATTCATTTTGAGTCAGCCATGGCCATTGAATAATTATCTCATTTCATTTTGGATATTTAGTTGTGGTAACCTTAGCAATGCTACTAAATCTTTTCTTTCTACACTAGCTTCTCTATCTTCTGATGCTTCGCTGGCTTCCGCATCTTGTATTTCACCAACTTCTTCTTTCTTGAACATTGCTAATTTCATCGTCTTCCTTCTAATTCTCCTGATTCTACTTTTATTTACTTCTCTGACTTCTGTGGCTTCCTCTTTTTTCTTGCACTGCCTCCTCCTTTTTGCACTTCTCTAAATTCCTTCACTTTCTAACAATTTTTTTTATTTTTCTTCTTGTATTTCTTCAGCTTTCTCTTTTATCTGGTGCTTTTCAAGCATCTTTTTCTTTCTTACACGTCCCTATATTTATGTAGTAAGACAACCTGATTACCTCCCCTGTCTTATGATTTGTATAAATAAGCCATGTCATCTTAGTCAAAATGGATAGACTCTTCAGTTACGTTCAATAAAGGCACATTTAGCCGAACTTGACTCTGAGTTTTCATTACAATTTATTGAACGTAATTAGGGACAAATACCTTAAACCAGAATGTCTTGACTTGAACTCTGCAGACTTGTCTTCTATTGACGCCTGGCAATATTGGAAATGATTATTCAAAGGATTCTTGCTTGCACTGGAAAACGGTTCATTCACTCCGATTACTGATATGGATAGATTTAACCTGCTAATGCACTACATTTCCACATCTGTATATACCAATATTTCTCATTACAAAACTTACCAGAGTGCCATGGACGTTTTCGATGGAATTTTTGTGAAGAGACAAAACAATCTTTGCCTGGCATGTATTAACAACTACCCACCAATCCCCTGAGGAGGGGTTAGAACAGTATCTTCAGTGCTTAAAAATCTTAAGTTGAGACTTGATGATGACAGCTGACCAGGCAAAGGATGAATTTATCAGAGACTCCTTTATAAATGGATTAGAATTGAACTATATCCATTAAAGATTGCTGGAAAATAAACAACTAGATTTAGGTACTGCTCATGAGTAGGCACTTACCTTGGAGATGGCAGAAAAGCAATCTTGTTCATACCTACAAACAAATGTTTCAGAGGCTGCACTAAGTACTCACACTCCTACTAGTCCACCAGTTTAAACAAGTGAAACAGGGAAAAAGACAGTCCTCGATGACAGACTACCTCATTTCTGCCCCCCCTCTACCAGTTCAAAATCTTCTCTTTCCAGAAGACACTGCATCCACTGCTAATGCTGCAGCCAGACGAAAATGTTATTTTTGTGGTCTCAAACTACACTCCAGGTCTTGTTGCTCAGCCAGGGAATCTAAATGCCACAAGTGCAGGAAGAAGGGACATTTTTTTAAGATTTGTTGATCAAATTTTTTTTTACCTGGTTCATATCCTCCAATTACAACTAGTATCATATCACCTGTAAACTCTAAATATCTTTCAAAAGGCTATATTAATGATAAAAATAAACAGGGTAGAAATGAATGCTCTAGTTGACACAGGAAGCTCAGTGAGTTTTATTAGCACTGATATTGCAAAAAGAAAGAGATTTAAAATTCAGGTGGCTATGGCAAACACTTCACTATTTTCATAAGTTAGAGGATATATTTTGGCTGGCCTAGAGTTAAATCAAACTAACTACACTTTGCAGAGAAAATACACCCACTTACGAAAATTACTAAATTTCCTTTACCTTCTTCTGTCGTTAATGCCTTTGAGATGTTAAAAAGAGATATTGCTAACTCAGCCATCACTTCGGTGAATCCTGACATTCCACTAGAAGTAGAGACCGCCGTTTCAAACCATGCCATAGATACTACATTAAGGTAATCTGGGTGCCCTGTAGCATTCTTTTTCAGAACATTGTCAAAATCTGAACGCAGACATCCAGCTGTTGAAAAGAAGTCTTATGCCATAGTTAAGGTGTTAAAAAATGGTGACATTTCTTAATTGGTCACTGCTTTAAATTAATTACGGATCAAAAATCTGTCTTTTTTATGTTTAATCTCAAGATGCCAAACGAAATAAAAAGATGGAGGGTAGAGCTTTCCTGTTTTTCATTTCACATTTTCCATTGGTCGGGAAAGGAAAATGAAATGGCAAACATGCTGTCAAGGGTGTGTGGATCAATAAACAGCACTAAAGATCTGCAAAACGTTAATAAAGATCTCTGTTATCCAGGCATCGTGAGTATGATGCATGTGGTCAAAGCCAGAATTTGTCTTTTTTAATTGAGAACATGAAACGAATAACAAATGATTGTCAGATTTGCACTTGAATAAAACCAAGATTCTAAAAACCCAAACTGGGAACCCTAATGAAAGCTGCACAGCCATTTGAGAGGCTGTGCATGGACTTTAAGAGCCCTCTTCCATCCTGAAACAAATATTTACTATCATTGATGAGTACTTGCGATTCCCTTTTGTCTTTCCCACTCCAGATGTAAGTTCAACAACAGTTATATGCTGTCATTTGCTCATTGTTCTCAATATTTGGATCATCAGCTTATATTCATACAGATCGCGGGACCTCTTTATGATCAACTAAGAAGATTCCTATTGGTACAGGGAGTGTCTGTAAGCCGGACTACCCCATACAATTCTCAAGGGAATGGACAGTGTGAGAGATACTATGGCATAATATTGAAGACAGTACATTTAGCACTTGAAAACCAAAACCTTCCATTTAGACTTTGGGAAGACGTAATAATCAAGGCTCTGTACACTATAAGAAGACTATTGTGTACAAGAACTAATGCAACACCTCATGAAAAGGTTTTAAAATTTCCAAGGTGATGTTTAGCTGGGATCTTCCTCTCTTTGTGGCTCTCACAGCCTGGTTCTGTTTTACTTAGAAACCATGTTCGACAAAGCAAGTATGATTCTTCTGTGAGTAAGATGGAACTGCTGAAGGTGAATCCACTCTATGCGCACATCCAGCACCCCAATGGGAAACAATTGGCTGTTTCCCTCAGAAATTTGGCCCCTACTGGTGAGTAGAGGGAGGAGCAGCTCTCACCTCAAACAATATCTCTTCATCTTGATAGTAAAGATGACACAATGCCATTGAATTCTCCATAGAACAAGGCCCTGGTAATGACGATTCAGAGATCAACACCATAACAGCTCCCTCAAAACGAGAGCATACTACCACAGACTCTGATAATCAGCTTTCAGAATCCCACTCTAAAAAGAAGACAAAATACTTCTGGCTAACTGTTCCTATAACACCTGAAAGCCCAGATCAGCTGCCACCGAGACAATCCCAGAGAATTGTCAAGAGACCCAGTCACCTGGATGATTTTGTGTCACACTAGGAGAAAACAAAACCAGGGAGAATGTGGTAAGACAACCCAATAACCCTCTCCCCTGTCATGATTTGTATAAATAAGTCATGCTGTCTTAGCCAAAATGGAAAGACTCTTCAGTTACATTCAATAAAGGCACTTTTGTCCGAACTAGACTCTGAGTCTTCATTACAATTTTAACCTTTTTGTACTTTTCTATCATCCTTTTCTACCTTGTACTTCTCTTTCATCTTTTTCTTCCTTGTACTTTTCTGTCATCCTTTTCCACCTCTTCTTTCTAGCACATTTCTTATTTCTTCTTTTTCCTTGTACTTCTCAAACTTCCATCACTACTGATAATTATTATTGTATTTGGCTGTGATGCATGTATTTGGTATACCCTTATCAGACTGAGTTTCACTCAATAAAAATAAATGTTGTAAATTTGAGGTGATTTTTCTGTTACTAAATCTGAAGCATTAAGTCTCATATATCAGGTGGAAACATACAAATGCATGAAATAATAATAATAATTTTAAAAACTGATAATGTGTTTTTGATGTTTCAGGTGGTAGGAGACACCATCCTACAAGAAGAAGTCAGAATAGCAGTAAGTATTTTTCAAATACAGGCATTTTAAATTATTTTTTCATTTAATTTTGAAGGCTTTTTTCTAATCTATTATCCTAAATTAAAACATTATAAATTTGAAATTTTAATGATCAGTTGTTGCTTATTTGTGTAATGAAGTTGAATCTCCTAATATTAATCTAAATATTTTAATTTACCCAAAGGTTATTATACATACATATTGCTTTCAGATAGAATCATAAATTATTACTGATGACAAAAATGTATACATAGTAGTTGTAATTCTGCTAACCAATGTTAATAGATTATTGGGTTTTAAAATTTCTTATAAAATTGTATTTAAACATTATTTTAGATGAATGCAACTCTCACCTATCAGAAGATAATAATACTGATTTATGTCTGAACATCAAAATTATGCACTTATATAAAAAATACATACTCAGGAATATTTTAGAATTTATTCTTTAATTATGAATGTTAGAGATAATTAATGTATCATTCTCAAACTTTAAAAAAATTGTTAAAAGTATTTTTCTTTGAAAAAATATAATGAACTTTAAATATATTGCAATTAATATTTCAGTATTTTTCCAAACATTTTACAAAGCTTCTGAAAATAATATCTGATGTTAAAACTATTATTGCAGAGCTAAGATTAGTGTTATCAAATTTTGAATTCATTTGATTACTTTATAAAAGAGATCAGTTTTTGCCTTTTACATTTATTATTAGCTGGGAGAGCATGCATGTTTGACAATGTTATATATATATATATAAATATAGTTTTACAGTATCCTATACTTATAAGTAAAAGTGTCCAATATCAGGGATAGAGCATATTTAAATGTTTAAGTGGAATCTGAGATCAACACAGAGAGGCGACAGTGTTTCATGCACAAATGCAATATTCAAGCCATCTCTATCTATCTATATACAGGGTGTAATGGATAAATTGTTGTCTAAATTACACAAAAATTAAAATAACATTGACATCTCATTTCAACAGATATATTTACCAAAATTACACAAAAATATTTTGAAATACTAAATAGTAAATTTATTCAATAAAATCGCTATTGGTCTCAACTACAGCTTCCAGACAACCTTGGAATCTTCTGCAACTCTTCCGGATGGTCTCCTTGTTTAAGTTGGTGAATGCTGCCATAATCCTTGCCTTCAGTTCATCTTTGGTGTTACAAGGAGTTTTGTTGTTTTCTTGCTCAACCTCATCCCAGACATAATAATCAAGTGTGTTTCAATCTGGGGAGTTAGGTGGCCAGATTTAAGGGTTGATGTGGTCACAGAAATTGTCTGACAGCCATGACTGCTTGTGTGGCATGGTGCAGAGTCCTGTTACCAAACATAGGGTCTTCCAGCAGCCACCCTCTTGATCCAAGGCAACACTACCTCCTCAAGGCACTTGATGTAGACCTCCATGTTGAGTCTGAGGCCCTCACCAACAAATTTGGGAGTTCTTTTCTTAGAACGATCAGAGTGAGTTTTTCGAGCTGCACTACCTTTGTAATCACCATTAAACTCATTCAACTCTTTATGAATCCTCTGCACATTTCTCACATTGGCACCCAAACACTCTGAAATAGTCATATTGGAGCTTCCAGCATGAGTACCAAGCAGTACAGCATACAATTTTTAAATTTCTAGCAGAGTGAATTGTGTCATGGTGATATTTTTCTCATAGACAGTGCCCAACTGACCCTACTATACTGTGCAGTTGACAAAATCAAAAACAAACAACACACATGTGTGAAATTAAAAATATCTTGGCAACAATTTACCTGTGGATCCCTGTGTGTGTGTATATATATATATATATATATATATATATATATATATATATAGTGTGTGTGTGTATGAAATCTTTTGTAGTCATATGAAAATTAACATATTTTTCCAGCTCCTTTTCTTCAGATTAACAGATCATTTAAGCAACTTGTGATAAACATGTAGATGTATGAATTTATAAATCTTAAGACATTGCAGTTTTTTCTCATTTAGTAAATATTCAAGCTAGTTAAATTTTACTTGCTTCTCAGATTTGAACTCTTTCTATGTTAATTCCTGAAATTAGCATGAATTAGAAATGCTTGATATCTAGAAAGCATGATGGAATTATATTAAAGGTATATTAAAAATATTTATTATTTTTTAAAGACCTTTTACTCCAAGACATATGCACTCCTAAAGAATATCTGACTCCAGTATAGTTCTTCTAAACAATTTTTTGAGTGTTGGTGGTTCTCCTCCCTCCATCTTTCATTTTAAACAATATAATTGATGGTTGTCAATTTCCACTACACTTAAAATGCTTGAACTAGTTTGGGGCATTACTGTCTGTGAATATTTTCAGTGGCCCTGTGGCCTATTTTAAAATAATACCTCAAATTGGTTAGTATTTGTATCTGCTGTTAAAATATCTTAAACAAAAGGTAGAATAGTTGAATAGTATTGATAATGATATCCACACACATGTGTGTGTGTGTGTGTGTGTGTGTGTATATATATATATATATATATTGATATGAGTTTGTGACCCTAGGTTTCACTTTTGACACATATATATATATATATATATATATATATATATATATGTGTGTGTGTGTGTCTATATATATATATATATATATATATACACACACACACACACAGTGGGGGGAACACAAATATTCGTACACATATAAATTTTTAATTTATTGTGTTTCCAACTAATGAGTAAACATACTTTTCATATAATTAACTGTACGCAGGTGCATAATAACTAAGTATGCATAGAAAACAGAAAAAAATTTGATTTAATAGAAATAAATCCCATTTATCCATTTTAATGGGTGAAAAAGTATTTGTACAATGCAAATTTCAGATTTTAAAACTTTTAAATTGCTTTAATGCTCTATATTATTCAAGTGGAATATTCTAGAATGTTCCAATAATGTTATCAGTAGTTATTTTTAACCTAAAAAATACAAATGAATTGATATTTGTACAAGAAGGTTATCATTATGTCAAGAGGTAAGGAATTGGCAAAAAGAACTGATTGTTAAGCTCTTGGAAGAAGGTAAAAGTTACAGGAAAATCTCAGATAATATGAATATTCAATTTACTACCATTAGTTTATTCATTACAGAGTATAAAAAACTCAAAACTGTTGAAAACCAAAAACGAACAGGTGCTCCATGGAATATTTCTTCAAGATCTTTGAGGGAATTAATGCATCAAATTAAACAAAATCCAATGGTTACTCATCAGGAGTTGCAGGATGATTTGCTTTCATCATGAATCTGTGTCACTAAATGGACAATAAACAATGAAATTCATAGGAACAATCTAAAGCCATGCTCCCCTTGGAAAACTCCACTGCTATTGAAAAGACAGAGATGCCATGTTGAAATTCGTTTGTGAACATAAGTGTAAGGAAAAATTGTATTAGGAAATAATATTATGGACAGACAAAACCAAAATTGAGTTGTTTGGATGTAATTGTAAAAATCATGTATGGAGGAAAGATGGCGATGCCTTCAAACAAAAGAACACAAATCCAGCAGTGAAATTTGGTGGTGGCAGCATCATGGTTTGGGGATGTTTTTTTCTGCAAAAGGTACTGGCAACATATCAGTAATAGATGGTAGAATGAATGCCCCAGCATATCAAAATATTTTGGAAGCAAATTTAATGATTTTGGTTTGAAAATCTTGAACTTCCTTCTGATTGGAATTTCCAACAAGATAAAAAAAAATTTATGAAGAAATGGCTTGCTGAAAATAATGTAAATATCCTGAAATGGTCAAGTCAGTCCCTAGATTTAAACCTAGTTGAGAATCTGTGGGGTTATTTGAAAATTCAAATCCAATCTAGAACTCCAACAAACATCTCAGTTCTGAAGACCATATGCAAAGAAGTATGGAACAAAATACCAACTAAAATTTGCAAATCATTAATTGAGAACTACAAGAAGTTGGTTGCTGTAGAAGTGTATAATGGCTATTCCACAAAGTATTAAATGAAGATTATGTATTCTTTTTGTATTGTATTAAAATGGATAAATGGGATTTATTTCTATTGAATTAAATTTTTTTCTGTTTTCTATGCATATTTATTTATTATGTATCTGTGTTGAGTTAATTATATGAAAAGTATGTTTATTCATTAGTTGAAAATATAATAAATTAAAAATTTTTATGTGTATGAATATTTGTTTCCCCCCCCACTCTATATATAACTGAATATACTTGCATATCATGTGACTTTGGAAGCTAATTTTAAGAGGGTTGCATCATACATGAGATATAAAATTAGTGTATGTGCAGCTGGCCCTGTCTATGCTGTCCACCAAACTATATATCCATTTACTGTAGTCAAAAATACAGTTGTAATTAAAATAAACATGATTTTGATAAAACTGATGTTTTACTATACTGTATTCAATAATAATGCATGTAATATTCACATATTACTTGTATTATAAAATACAAACAGCGAATATGCATCTCTTCCATTGTTTACATTTGTAAGATATTTAGCTGATTCTCATTCAGTTGTTTATGGCTGTACATATTTATGGAATGAGTATAGTGTTACTAACAATACTTTTATCATTCTCTTTTACTTTTTTAACTTATTTAACTAGAAGATGGGATAAAGAGATAGAAGAAAATAGGTTAGTCTTTTGTAATTTGGTCTCTCAAAAAAGGAATTTGCCTGAAGTTAAAATTTTGGGGTTGCAAGTATATATGGTATATAAAACAAAAATACTGTCTTAAAGAATACTTTTGATACAAGCTACTATAAAATCTTTTCAAAATTTTTAAGAACATTTTTTAATGATTAACTAAATTCCTCATAAATTTATTAAAATGATTTCTATTTACCCTATTGTTTTATTTGTATTTACATTCATGATAATTTAATGGTGATGATTTTAATTTTCACATTTAAGTTGATTAGTCAGTATAAAAGCTACTTGATAACTGACTCTGCAAGAAAACTTGAAAATGACTCCTCACTATTTTAAAGTTTCTCACTCTATCAACTTAAATACTAATGAACAATTCCTTCTGTCATGGCCTTTGGCTAATTACCCACAAGATATATATTGCTTATTTATCAATTATAAAAATTAAGCATAAAATCTTATTGTTTCTAATCTAGTTAAGCATATCTTATTTTTAGTTTATTTATTTTCTCCTGATCAACTTATAAAAATTATTATATATTATCATGATGTTTCGGCCGTTATGCTCTTGGTCTTCCTCAGTTGTATATCAATCTACAGGGAATTCTGAACTGAACCCTTTATTTAATCTACAGGGTAGACTGTTCTCATTCTACTGCCCATTTCCCTAGACATGGTCACTGGAATGAGGAAAGTTTATCCCCATAAATTAAATAGAGGGTTCAGTTCAGAATTCCCTATAAATCAATATACATCTAAAGAAAGCTGGAGGGCACAAGGACAAAACATTATGATAGCAACGACAAAGATGAGGACAATAATCTGGATATAAATAATATAAATAACAATAACTCCTCATCCCAGAAATTCAGACATATATACTTATGCAAATTAATTGAAACAACCACTTTAGTTTCCTTTCTTTCACCATACAGTCAGTTTTAGACCCACTGCAGTGACAGGGTGTAATTGATTTCTATTTTTTTCCCTCATATTAGGTCATTTGCAGTAGTGTGCAGTAATATGAATCTATTTTCCGGGTGTGTGATGAAATTTGTTTGACCTTGAAAAATATTGCATCATTCATGATTGGATCATATTTTTATCATGCTCAGACACCATTGTCCTGACTGTTGATTAGTTGTCTTACAGCCATTGTCTGCAATGGATGTTACTCCAAGGAAGCATATGAAAATTTGTAACACTGCATGCCTTACCAGTGAGCAAATCAAAGTACTAGACTGGCACGGAAACTCTCCTGATTTAAATCTAATCAAGAATCTGTGGTCAATTTGCAAAGAACGACTTTGTGGAATGGACATATGAAGTACTAACATGCGAACTGGGTCATGTTTCATTGGAAAAATATGTAAAAAAGTAAATAATAACTGAATCATTCGTTTTGTTTCAATTAATTTGCAAAAGGTTGTAAATTTTCAAAAATTTCTGTTTAAACATATTAATGGATTTTACAAGAGTGTATTAGATACAATTGTAATATATAGTAAAATTATTTAGATCTGATGGATGTTGACAATATGACATTTCAAGCCCAAACTCACTATTTATCTTTTACCTGTTTGGTTTGTAAAAGACTTAACATCTTTATCTGAAGTACCACATTGTATAGAAGTAAAACATGAAATACTTTACAAATATAGTCATAAATAAAGAAAATGGAAAAGTAGCTTTATTTCTTTGAAATGCTTTTCAATTAAACGTCTCACTCATATTGTCTATGATCAACAATTTCATTCACTCTAGTTTTCTTTGTAACAAGAAAGAAAATTTGTACCTCATGAAGTAATGCATAAATGAAATTAGGTTTTCCTATTTTAGCCAACACGAATCAGTGACCTCCAGAAAAAAAGCCTGAATTCTTTCTGAACTCATTCACACAATAATTTGCTTCAATGCAAATAGTCTATTCTCTCAATGCTGCTGCCAATAAAAACATCCTCTAGCTTGTTTCATATACAATGCTGCCAATTCTCACAACAGTAAAACAGACATATTTACCTCTGCTCTTTTATCTCATTATTAAACATAATCTTTGTTTACAGATATTAAACAGATGTTAAATGTGTTGATCTCAAATAAATTTTTCCTTTTAAGATTAAATATTAGAATTTTTCATTTGTCTTAATAAAAGAGCCAGGCTGTCATATAGCTTCTAATGGAATTGTTTCTTTTTTATTCAAGCTAGTGTTCTTCCTATTTTCTGTTTAGTCATTCAAATTGTTGAATAATTTAAGAAAAATAATTTAGCTCTTGGATACAATGAGTACTGAATTTAATTTAGAAAATTAGGTTAAATATCAATGAATATTTGAAGTATATTCTCACATACCTTTGTCTGAATGAACCCATCTGATTTACCGTTTTTAGACTTTATCTAAAATCATTTCAAATAGGTTAAAATAATTTATAGAATAAGTTCTGTTATTCTTTGAATGTTCTTCACATATTGAATGAATGATAAAGTATGTAAAGTTTGAGAGAATGCAAATTTAAGAATTATATTTAAATGCTGAAGCTATATTTCTATGTTGAGATTAGAATTATTTAATTTTTTTAATTGTTGGTTCACAAATTTATAATACCTTATAAATATTTTATTTAGTTTGTACAATGGTTAACTAAATTTTCGCAGTAAATTAGCTGATTTGCTGCTAATGCTATAAATTTGATAGTTCATGAAACGGTCAGTCATGGCAAAACAAAAAGGTTTTGAACATCTTGTCATGGAAGAAAATTCTTGTTTTATTTGGAATGCAGAATAAAAAGAGAGGACAAACAAGAAATGGGTTTTTATTTAGTTTAAATAATTTTTTTTTTTTTTTTTTTTTAAATAGTTTGATCACTTTCAGTCATATACGAAAGCAGGAAAGAAAGTCTTGTATAAGAATGATGCTCTTTGGATGCTTGTTAACTGCTTTTGATAGGTTTGATAATCAAGGTCACATAATCCTGATCTGTATTTAAGTCACACATCTAGATTTTGTGCATTGTTTTCATTTGACCCACTGAGTCATCAATATGTCTTTTTGAACATGTTATCCACAATCTCAGCCATAATATACTAATGAACTTAATTACTGTGTATTTGTTGAAGATTTTCAGTTAGAATATGTGTGCTAGAAGTAATCAGTTATGAAAGTTAGCCAGTAATCAACTTTAGTGAAAAAGTCTTCAAATTCAACTGAATATAAGTAATAATTCCTTTTTGTTTAACTAACTTGGTTGATTTATTAGTATAGCTATTTACAGAATGGAGAGAAGCTATAAAAGCATTCCTTATATTGTAAGTTATACAAATAAATTCATTTTAGCTATAATTAAAAAAGATGGCAGAAATTATCATTTCCTTACTGCAGCTTTAAAGCAAAATCAGCTTCCTATGAGAATTTTTTTATGTAGCAATATTGTAATCAGAATACAGTTGTTGAAATTGAATGTTAATTTATCATTTTGATATATATCGTTGAGTTATTGTTAGATTAGCTTTTGGAGTTTCTAAATTGCTTATACTCTAGAAAGTTACAATCAAAATTTTTAATGGCACTGTTCTTGCTTGAATTTATATGGTTATTTATACAAGCAATCTTCAAGTTAGGTAGACAATGAATTCATCACCCAAATTGTAAAAAGTAGCATATAACTGATCTTATATTTTGTTTTTAAAATGTTATTTACCTTTATTACTATAGATATTAGTTGACATAAGGAGATCAATTTTTTTATTTTCACTAATATGTTACCTTCAAGCTTTCTTCATTTGTTTCAATAGAATGCTTCTTATTGATCTTTTATAAACCATATTTCATCTTTTGTAGATATTTTTCTCACTATTTTTAATGAGCTTACACTACTGGTTAATCTATATTAACAGTGATAATATCAGCCCTAATCCATGTTTAGAGATCTTGTTTTACAGAAATTATACATTGACATTTTTCTTGAATATTATTTTTGCTTTCTGATAATATTTAAGATGTTACCTGTAACTTCATTTGTATTTTTAAGCACACTATTATTTATAGATATACTTTAGATTTAGCTGTTTTAATAAATATATGCCTGTAAAAATAAAAGAATATAATTTGAGTTTAAAGCTCAGTACAATATTATAAAATTAATCATTTTGCACATCAATCATTTTGTTGAAATATTTTTGCTTAGAAAATCTGATTTGATTTTTACTGTTTTTAACCTTATTTTAGGCTATTATCATTTAATTCTCTAATTGAAATTATCTGCAATAAGGGGTTGGCTTTATGCTGTGCTAAGCTCTCTTTAGTAAATATCAATCCATATAAAAAGTTAAATATTTCTTCTAATTCTGAAAAATCAAATTTCTGAATGTATGCCTTTTCATGAAGCTTGCTTGTGTCTGTTTACATGTGACATGAAAATTATTCATAAAAAATCTCTCTATCTGTTCTTTTTGATAACAATGATAATGTAATGTGTCATAAATTGTTTGTGTCTTTGTATATTAAAACCTCTTCAGGTTCATCTTTGAGGATGATATAATTTTATCACAAGTTGTATGTTTGTATCTATTTTTATGTCTTACGTGACATAAAATCTATCTCTTCCTTTCTTTCAGTGCTGGGGATCTAACTCTACACTTTTACAGGTACCCCCTTTACAATGATAAGCATTTAACTTTGTGTGTCATCATTTTCTTAAGTGGAATGTTTTCTTTTTCTTTTTTTTTTCTTGGCACTACACACATGATTCAATATTAAGCCTCTTTTTCCCAAACAAAAACTTCACAAACATCTTTGAGAATTTTGTGCTTGAATAATGTTGTTTCCATAGAATTAATTATTGCCAATTTTATGCAAATGTAATTTCTTTCTTCCACAAGACCGACACTTAAAATTAAAGACATTTTTAATATACAAATTATTGGAGTATTTCATTGATTACCTTAATCAATTCAGACTGATGTTAAGTACATAACAGCTGATGCATAACCTTGATGCCATTGATAACATCTCTGTTGTTTAAGTACTATATTATGCAACCAGTATAAAAATATCTTACACAATTATTTTATAGCTAATAAATCTTATTTTAAAAGGATATGTTGCAGCTACTACTCTAAGAATGTTTTAGGAGAAATCCTTTGAATCCTGTTGAGTTTATAATAAAACTTAGTCTTCAGTGGAGTGAGGGAAAGATCATGGCACATTCTTTTATTTAGTTTTAGTGTCTTAATATTAATTATTAATGATATGAACTAATATTTTTGGATTCATGATGCCTCAAATTACTATTTTGAAATGCATGTATTAATATATACATATAGACTAAGATATTTGTGTATTATGATTAATTATATTACTAATAACATTCCATAACCTATTGATATTTATGGTATTATTGATAAATTTTAGATGGTTCTCCCACTCTCTCTCTCACCATCCTCTTAGATATAAATTATTTTAAATGTTGAACAAGTATGTTCTTGACTGTTTTTACTTTACTTTTTCATTTCCTTGTTCTTTTTTGTCTTACTGCTGCAGGATAGTTTGAGTTTTTTCGTTTGCACTTCACATCATTTTCGTTTTGCAGTATTTTAGCCAGTCTATTCTCCAGCCATTACCAGGTGAATATGCCCTATGCAGAACCTTGTTGGTCTTATTTTGCTTTAATTTTCATCACTCATATTGAAAAAGATCATCAGATGCCTACCGCACTAGACAGCTACCAGCATGAAATGACTCCTTTACAGAGGACTTTCTGTAGAAACAACTATCCAGCTTACATAACATTTTGGAATTGCCAACAGACAGAATTGTTAAATAAAATTCATATACCTGTGCTCATTATTATACACAGATTTACTTGTATTAGTCTCCTAAACTAGGTATTTTCTACTCTATGGTTGTTATTGTTGATAACCTGGAAATTTTTAACTATTTATTCAATCTATCAAAGTAGAGTGTTCTCATTCTGCTGTTCATGCTATAGGATATATATCATCTAAGTTAATTCTTCTTTGTAATGTTACTTATCTCAAAAAAAAAAAATTGTCATCCTGTATTATATCATAGATTGAGAGACAAAATGTATTAAGATTCTGGGAGATGTCCAATATCAAAGGAATTTTCAGGTATAAGATCTATCATTTAATATAGACTTAATCTCATTAAACAAAAAAACTGCCAAAAACTGTCTGCAACATCTCATAAAGCCACTGAATATAATATAAGGATGGCCATATCCACTTTCTGGAGGTAATCTTGAATGCTACAAAATTGTAGTCCATGGGGAGACCATAAAATCATAGTAGATCATCTAATGATGGAAAAGGGGGTTACCATTTTTAAAAAATGAAATTGCAATAATTGCCACAGAACCAAAATAGAAGATACAGAAATTGAATGAAAGACTAACAAAACTTAGGCAGTTGATACATTGATCTCAAGAGGCAGATTGATTGAAATAAAAGATAAAAAAAAATAATATTCCAAAGAATTATCTAATATTAAAAATACCTTTTCAAAATCTCAGACAAAATAATAATATTAATGATGATAATAGTAATATTAAAATAGAAATAAAAATAATAATGTCAATCCAATCAATTTTCATTTCTTCATTATCAACAATTCACTGGATTTAAATTACTTACTTGGTTTTATTAATATCCTTTTTATAATATGTACAGATTTCTTTTGCTTTAACAAATTCATTTTTTTTATCAGGTTCTAATCTAAATAAAATCTAAGAGGGAAGAATAGATTTCTTTTGCTCTAATCAGAAAAAATAAAAGGAGAAACATAAAAATTGATATATGCCTATAAGGTTTTTTTTCTATAATGGACAATATTAGGTTTACATAGCTTTGGTTATTTTCTTGTATGGCTTATGCTGTGGAAAGGGGAGTTTACTGGGTTGATGGTTTGACTCATTTTTTGTTAAAGAACTTATTATCATTGGTCATTTTTACAACATGGTTCTTTCTGAAGTGCAAGCATAGCTTTTGTCTGAAGGATTTTAGTTTGCTTAATATGCTGCTGATATAATGTGAATAATTTTCAATTATTTCCTTTTGTTTAAATGTACTTTATTATACATATATTTATATATTTTTTTTTATTTTATCAAATACAGTAATAAGAAAAAAAAGACATTTTTAAAGATTTTAATTTTTAAGTGATATGTTTTTCAGAACTTTAGAATTGAATTTCTGCAGTTTATCCAACATCCCAGATATGCAATGTCAATATTCTTTCAAATCTTGTTATTGTATGTTTTGGAAGAGTTGAAACTATTTTGTTGAATTATCATTCTCCTGGCTTTAGAGACTCATTAAGTTCATAACATTTTGTCTTTAGATGGCATAGTAAAATTAAATTTTATTTTGTATTAATTTTCAATAACATTTTAAAATAATTTTACAAGATTTATTTAAGTTGTTAACATCTCCATCACTTGAGCATTTTAATGCTTGTAGTATTTTGTTAAAGGAAACAGCACTGTAAAATTGACATTTGACACCAAATAAAATGTTTTAATTCTGATTTTGTCATTCAGGTCCAGAATCTCTTTGGGCTGAAAATAACCATTTTTGATGAATAACTGTTCTAAAATGAGTAGCCAGTAAAAAGAAAGAAAAAAATAAGCAATTGAAAATTCAAGTATCAATAAAATCTATAACCACCAATAGTTTGTTTTAATGGCTGCAAGTCAATATTTTTCCTAATAAAATTAATATTAACCAATTCATGTTGGTAAAAGTTTCAGGATATATTTATAGCAGAAATATATTGTATGAGTTTCAGCTTACAATATACATCTTTATTACAAATATTGATAATAACTTTTCTTGAGGATATTTGATTTTATTATGCAAATAAACTAAATGCAAAATAGATTTTTATGTGTAAATAAATCTAAGACATAGGCTGTAGAAACTTGTTTGATTAATAATGTATCCTATAAATATGAATAAATTATTATTTGATTTTATCTGACATGTTAATTTGTGCTCCTTGATGCTCTATAATCTTCTTTAGTCTTTCTCCCATCAATTTTGTTAACTTTTCTTCTGTCCCAACATTACTTACATTCATTTTTATTAATTCCCAGGCGTCTGCTGAAAAATTATTTTCTATTCTCATATATATCTCTTCTATTTCCATTCTTATATATATCTCTTAATGCTAGATAACAAATTTTCTATTGGATTAATATTAGTGGCCATCCTATTAGTGTCTTTGGCAAATTGGGCAATTGTCAGCTTTGTAGAAGGTGAAGTTGTGTTGTATGAATATACTGTATAGTTTAAAAATTGAGTCCCATCTTGTCCAAGAATTTAAAATAATTCTCTGCATTTATTTTGATACCATCATCAACTTTTAAAGGATCTATAATTTTCCTGCCTGCAATACTATCCCTCCATCTGTTGTCTTCTAAATCATGGTTGTTGACCATTTTCATGAAGAACCTAATCACTAACCGATCTATCAGGTCTGTTCAATGTAACTATACATTATCACAACCAATTCTTGTTGAGAAATTGATTTTCATGTACTTCTTTGTTCAACTTACATGTTTTGTTTTGTGATGTTGACTTAAAAATAGTAGATTGGTTGCTTTCATAAAATTCTGCATCTTTTCTCTCTGTTTACAGTCACAACACCAACTTCAAATCTTTTCAAATTTGTTTTTTTTTCTTCTTACCTTGTCAACATTTTCAATATACATTTTGTTTGTTCTATGATCTCTGTTCAACTTTTTACAATTTCCAACATTGTGTTCTTATCACTTAATGTTACAATATCAATTGATTCCCTTTTGAGGTTATATATTCTTTTCAACCTGTGGTGATCTTGATATATTTAAAATTAAAAAGAATAAATATAAATAACTATGCTAATATATATATTTATTTACAATATGATGAAAAACACTCAAGTTGTGAAATGAAATCTCACACTGTCAAATATGTTATTCTATGTATTTTTAATAAAATCCGATAAGCTGAAATTGTCATGGGATATTTATCATGTAACTAATATACTATGGAATGGAAACTTTATCATTATTCTCTGCTTCATATTTTTATTGTAAAAACATTGATTTTCCTAATAAAATCTGATACAGTGTGTGTGTGTGGGAATACACACACACACACACGCACACACACATATATATATATTGTGAATCTTGAAAGTGAAATATAAAAATTTCTTCATATTTTTCTATGAATTTATGCTTGCAAATTTTAAAAGTGATTGATTGTAACTGTACTCTTTATATTAATATGTCCATGATCAGTTTAGTTAAACAGCTTTTTTTTTAATTAAAAAGCATAATTTACCACAACCAATTATTTATAATATTTTCAAAGTAGTAGATTATTGAAGGTATGTACAATGTACTCGTTAAATTTTTTAAATTTATAAATGCTCCTTTATTTTCATAAAAATAAGTCATTATTAATGATATAAATGATATCATTATTATTATAATTAGTACAAAAATTCATCATAAAATTTATTCTTCAAATAATTATATATATAAATATATATGCTTCAAATAAGTATTTTTGCTTGTCAGACTTTATTTATACTTGCAAATAAATGATAAAAAATACTAATTTTTTCCTTGTTATATTTA